CTGGTGTGTTTCGTAAAAAAGTAGGCTTGATTATCTCGGCCTGTCAATCAAACGTAGAATGGTCGGTAGATTGGTTAAGCGAGACTACTTTCAAAACAAGGGCACGTAACCTATTTTTTACTCACATATGCTCGGATGTTATGGTCGACACTCGTAACCATCTTTTCAGTGTATTATTTATGGATGATTAACGAAACTTTAAATATAGGTTTATCACCCTAAGATCTCGGTTCCTTTCGATATTGGCATGTATCGGACTGTAACTTCATGGATTATGGGCCCTAATTGTACGAAAAATCACGTTTTTAGCTTGTGAACACTGTAGAGGTCACAATTTTTATCCGATTTGGTTTAAACTTGAAATGTATGCTTATAACCCAAAGATCTCGGTTCCTTTCGATATTCGCACATATCGGAACCTAACTTCCTGAATTATGGCCCCGGATTGTACGAAAAATTGCGTTTTTAGCTTGTGGACCCTATAGAGGTCATAATTTTTATCCGATTTAAAAAACCGTATTATTATATCACCGTTACACCACAAGGACGACTGAGGTCGAATTTCGTGAAAATCGAACCAAAACTGACAGAAAAAAGGCCGCTCTTCGTTCTCAAATAGCCTAAAAAATATGGTATATCAAGATTGTGGACCCTATAGAGGTCACAATTTTTATCCGATTTTGTTCAAACTTGAAATATAAGTTTATAACACGAAGATCTCGGTTTCTTTCGATATTCGCGCATATCGGACCGTAACTTCCTGAATTATGGTCCCTGATTGTACGAAAAATCGCGTTTTTAGCTTGTGGACCCTATAAAGGTCATAATTTTTATCCGATTTAAAAAATCGTATTATTATATCACCGTTACACCCTAAGGATGGCTGAGTTCGAATTTCGTGAAATTCAGCCCAAAATTCACAGGCAAAATGGCCGCCCTTCGTTCTCAAATAGCGTAAAAATATGGTATATCAAGGTTGTAGACCCTATAGAGTCACAATTTTTATCTGATTTTGTTGAAACTTGAAATGTAAGTTTATAACCCAAAGATCGTGGTTCCTTTCTATATTTGCGCATATCGAATTGTAATTTCCTGAATTATGGCCCTTGATTGTACGAAAAATCACTTTTTTAGCTTGTGGACCCTATAGAGGTCATAATGTTTATCCGATTTTAAAAAACGTATTATTATATCACCGTTACACCCTAAGGACGGCTGAGTTCGTATTCCGTGAAAATCATACCAAAACTGACAGACAAAATGGCTGCCCCTCGTTCTCAAATAGCGTAAAAATATGGTATATCAAGGTTGTGGACCCTACAGAGGTCACAATTTTGATCCGATTTTGTTTGTTTGTTTATAACCCAAAGATCTCGGTACTTTTGATATTTGCGCATATCGAATTGTAATTTCCTGAATTATGGCCCTTGATTGTAGAAAAAATCACTTTCTTTTTAGCTTGTTCTCTATCCATCTCTCGAAAATGTGGGCGTATCCTGCCTGGCAGCCGCTGGTTAACTTGTGGTCCCTCTGGAGGTCACAATTGGTATCCGATTTACAAAAAACGGTTTAGTATATCACCGTTACACCCTAATGATGGTTGAGTTGGAATTTTGTGAAAATCGGACTAAAACTGACGCAAATAGTGTAAAAATATGGTATATCAAGGTTGTTGAATCTCCAGAAGCCACAGTTATTATCCGATTTGGATGAAACTTAAAATATATATTTTTATCATAACGATCTTGGCTCCTTTTGATAATCACACACATCCGAACGTAACTTCATGGATTATGGCCCCTAATTGGTCGTAAAATCGCATCTTTAGCTTGTGGATTCTCTAGAGGTCACAATTTTTGTTTTCCGATTTAAAAAAAAAACGTTTAGATATATCACCGTTCTACCATAATGAAGGTTGAATTCGTAGCAGGAGCATGATTGGCGCGTGTCAATTTCTTGCCCCACTTAATGACGCAAGCCCCAAGCTGCCGATACGCTCTCTTTGCCCTCATGCCAGGAGACCGAATGAATATGCTTTTCTTTCCCAGGAAAATCAATATTAGCTCAGTGGTCATCCCGCCATCTTAGAAATACGCTAAATATGTAATCATTTTACAAGGTTGTAAATGTCAGGAATGGAATCTGCGCCACCGAAAACGTACATATTGACAGCAAACACTACTACTGAATGAAAATCTGCATTTCGTCCCAATTTACCGAAAGTTGGAATATTATCGCAGAATGGCTACCCGTCAAAATATGGTCTCCGATACTATGAAGACCTACACAGAAAAAATAACAACATTGGTTTGTTTGTTTTTTTTGTTGGGTTTTTTTTTGTCATTTTGTCCACTTCTTGTTTCATCAACCTTCTAACCTGGTATGAGATTTTGCCGTGAAACGGGATGGTTATTCTGGTGTCAGAGATGTCAGTCTTTGGCGTTCCAGTTAACCAGTTATTATTTCTGAATACGTTCTTTAAGCGCTCTAATTCCCCAGGTAAATTTTCTTCGTCACATATCTTGGTGGCGCGTCTGGTTAAACTTCATCTCTCAACCCCCCGTGTTTCGAGATAACAGATGGTGCTATAGTTCCACGTAGCCAAGCCCAATTGAAAATATTACTCATCAAAACAACGATTGTTTATTGTTATTTATAATATTTCTGCCACATCCAACTACAATTAAGCATATAATCCTACCTGTAACGGATATAAATCATCGTATTTAAACTCGAGGCGTTAAGCCGTTACTAGGAACGCCATTTTTAAACGGGAGAATATGACGGTGTATGTCGGATAAAAACAACGCTTCATTAATTTAAAAGCGAATATTTGGAGTTAAGCGATATTTGTGCCACTACATTGGCACTAAAGGCACCCAATCGTAGCTAAAAACAAGCACATCAGTATATCTCAGCGTTTTTAGCTACGTTCTCGTTGAAGTGTTGATGATGGATTTCTTAATTTGATGCGAGTGATTAAAGTGAATATATTGATCAGTGTGAGTTGATTTCCTATAAAAAGTTGTGGAGAATTTGTTGTCAGTTTTAGTCACTAGGAGAATGTCATCCGTTTCGTTCTCCTTTGTGAATTTTATCCTAGTTTGTCGACTGTTCAGACGTTGGAGTAGCGTTTCTGGGTTGTCGTTTTGATTGGGGACTACAGATGCATCATCAACCTTGCGGTACCAGCAAAGGGATTTAATTGGGGAGGTCTGTAATGCATCAGTTTCAAAACTGGTCATGAATACTTCTGACAGTAGTGAGGACAGTGGGTTAACCATAGGCAGACCATGACTTTGTTGATAATATTCATCACCCCATCTAAAGTAAGGAGCAGTTATACAGTGACGTAACAGTTGAATGATATTATAAGTGAAAGGTAAGTGTTCAGTGGGGTCTTGAGGTCATTGATGTTCTGGGTATTTGGAGTGTCTGAGCAATTGGGATGTTGGTGAACAGGTCTACTACATCGTAGGAAAGATCGATGTCGGCTTGTGGGACAGTCGCCAGTTTATGCCAAAAAAGCATATTGTAGATATTAGACCTGGAGCCCAGGGGGTCAACCTAGCTGAAAAGTGTACCAATTTTCTCCTATATGGTATCAATGTATGTATATCTGGTATCATCAGAATGTAAGTCTGCCGGGTTTCTGGTGGTGGGTGTGGTTTTTCCACGCCCTAAATGCCATGATCCCCAACTAGGCTAAATTAGCTAAAAAGTGTACCACACGAAAATCTTACTGCAGTGTACCGTACATCTTCAGGTATTACAAAAACACTCTGACAGACATTTCCAGTGTTGGAGTACCCCTGACAGAGCTATGTAATTAGCAGACATTTGTAGTGGTGGAGTATCCCTGACAAGAGTTATCTAATATTTAGACCAAAGCTAGGCTAGATTAGCTGAAATCTGTACCACCTAAAACAGCTTTGGAGTTGTTCAGTACCACCACAGGAGTCATGAATGAACACTGCCAGACAGTTTGTGTGGTGGGTTACCCCTAACAGACACGCCCCAAAATGCCACGCCCCCAACTAGGCTAGCTTCGCAGGCACTGTTCCCGTGTTCTAAAAAATTAGATTTTTAGCCAGGATGCGTAGGATACTAATACCTAGCAAGTATGGAAGAGGCGATAAACTGCGATTGCAAGAAGTTGATTTTTTGGCAAAAAACATTTTATGGGGCTAAAAATGCGTTTTTTGAAAAATAATTTTTTTCCTACAACCGCAGTTTATCGCCTCTTCCATATGTGCTAGGTATTAGTATTCTACGCATCCTGGCACAATTTTTAATTTTTTGGACCACAGGAACAGTGCCGACTAATCTATCCTAGTTGGGGGTCGTGTTATTTTGGGCGTGTCTGTTAGGGGCAACCCACGGCACAAACTGTCTGGCAGTGGTCATTCATGATTCCTGTGGTGATACTGAACAACTCCAAGGCTGGTTTAGGTTGTACGGATTTGAGCTAATCTAACATAGCTTTGGTCTGGAAATTTGATAACTCTGGTCAGGGATACTCAATCACTACAACTGTCTGGCAATTACATAGCTAGGTTAACCCTCTGGGCTCCTGCTCTATATGTGAATAGTAGACAAATATATATAGAATATGCAACAAAAGTAACAATCCAAGAGAGAGAGGGGGGGGGGGGTTAATGTCCACTCGACTCAAACTGGGTCATTTCGGGACTAACACATGGTTCAATTTTATTTCAATAATTCGATTGCGCGTAGGAGTCTTTAGGAGTGGAAGGAAACCGGAGAAAACCCACGAAGTTGCATAGGCGACCCTACTCCTTGTCACGTACATCCAGGGAATCGAAACACACCACTTGACTTATTGACAGGCTTTATGATACAGCACGCACGCGCTAACCTCTCGGCCATCTAATCCCCTTGAAAAAAAGGACGGCCTTCTCTAATCCAATGCCACGTTACAATCTAGTTTTGGAATTTTGAGGCAAAATCGATAAAGTAAAAAAAAAAAAAATCAGCTGTGAAATCTTTAAGTAGATTGCTTTTATTTCAATATTGGTGCTCAGATGTTAATTCAAACATATTGCTTTTCACACTGTCATAAATCATTTAACATACTTTATTGGACATTTCAAATTTAATAATGATGACAATAAAGTGTGGACCAGCCACGTTTGTCATTTAGATTATAGACATTATATATTATAAAATATTATACAAAATATCTCTTTGATACAAATGGAACATATCGAAAATAATTTTTGGTTTAAAATTCAAAATACTTTATCTCACTTTTTTGTATCATATTATTATGAAACACGAGAATAGATATCTTGACATAAATCTAAAGCAGAAAAAAACCCCGGATACCTTTCCGATATTCCAAAGCAACCGATGGAAGTTACTCTTCCGATATTTAGTTAAATTTATTTTAGAAAAATTATCGGAGAGACACTTCTTTGGATAAAGACTGTTTAAATTTATAATGCTGTCAAAATAGCTATCCAAGTTACCATATTATCTTCTGTAAGATATGAACATGATATCAAATTGAAGGTTTTTTTTAAGATATCTCTGATTTGTAATGTTTCCGTATATACATCCAGAATTAATTTAATACAGGGAATTTGTTTATCTGAAAGATATTCTATACATTTCAGCGAAATGGCACCAATAGCAATATCAGCTAGCACTATACGTTTTACCAAACCAAACATTTGTATGATTTTCTCTATAATAACTGTCAACAATCACTCCTTTCCACAATATTATAAAAGTCAAAGAAAACACCAATCGAAGACTGGAATATATTTTAAATAGATATCCTAATACAATTCGATTCCCATAGAGTTTTCACCTCCTATCCGAACTTTTGCTTCCGGCCTCGTTGGTTAGGATTGCTGCATCAATGGCTTGCTTCACAATATCAGTGGCTTGAATAGCTGTGTTCATAGCAGCTGTGATTTCGGCCAAAGCATGATTAGCCGTGCTTGCAGGGTCTGTGGTTTTGGTTGCAGCTCCGCCGCTTGGGATAACAGTTTCTACAGCTTTGGGTACAACTTCGTTAGTAGCGACACTTGGTCTATCGTTAAGAAGTTTGTGCACGTTATCAGTGGCCTTGATCGCTGTGGTCATAGCAGCTGCAATTTTAGCCAGATCATCATTGGCCGTGAGTGCAGCTTTATTCCCAGCGATCAACGACGTATCTGCGGTTTTGGTTGTAGCTACATTGTCCGCGACCACAGTTTTGCTGGAATAAAGTTTATCCGCAATATTCGTCGCGATTTTGTTAATTTGTTTGCGCACACGGTTATCATCATCATCATCATCATCGTCGTCCTCGTTATCATCAGAGTCGCCACCTCTACTATCATCGTCACCATCTCTACTATCATCGTTATCATCATCGTCGCCATCATCGTTATCCCTACTATCGCTATCATCATCATCATCGTCATCGTCGTTATCATCAGAGTCGCCATCTCTACTATCATCGTCACCATCTCTACTATCATCGTTATCATCATCATTGCCACCATCTCTATCGTCATCATCATCGTCGCCATCATCGTCATCCCTACTATCGCTATCATCATCATCGTCATCATCATCATCGTCGTCGTCATCATCATCATTACCGTTATCATCATCGTCGCCACCTCTATTATCATCGCCACCATCTCCACCATCATCGTTATCGTCATCATTGCCACCATCTCTATCATCGCCATCTTTACCATCATCATTATCGTTAACATTATCATCGTCACTATCATCATCATTATCATCATCGCTATTACTATCGTCATCATCATCATCGCTATCGTCATCATCATCATCGCTACTATCATCATTATCGTCATCATCATCGCTACTATTATCGCTATCATCATCATCATCATCATCATCATCATCATCATCGCTACTATCATCGTTATTGTCATCATCATCGCTACTATTATCGTTATCGTCATCTCCATCGCTACTATCATTGCTACTATCATCGTTATCATCATCTCCATCGCTACTATCGTCGTTATCGTCATCATCATCGCTACTATTATCGTTATCGTCATCTCCATCGCTACTATCATCATTGTCGTCATCATCATCGCTACTATCATCGTTATCATCATCTCCATCGCTACTATCATCATTATCGTCATCATCATCGCTACTATTATCGTTATCGTCATCTCCATCGCTACTATCATTGCTACTATCATCGTTATCATCATCTCCATCGCTACTATCATCATTATCGTCATCATCATCGCTACTGTTATCGTCATCATCATCACTGCTATTATCGCTATCGTCATCATCATCGCTACTATTATCGTTATCGTCATCTCCATCGCTACTATCATCATTATCGTCATCATCATAGCTACTATCGTCGTTATCGTCATCATCATCGCTACTATTATCGTTATCGTCATCTCCATCGCTACTATCATCATTGTCGTCATCATCATCGCTACTATTATCGCTATCGTCATCATCATCGCTACTATCATCGTTATCGTAATCTCCATCGCTACTATCATCATTGTCGTCATCATCATCGCTACTATTATCGTTATCGTCATCTTCATCGCTACTATCATCAGTATCGTCATCATCATCTCCATCGCTACTATCATCATTATCGTCATCATCATCTCCATCGCTACTATCATAGTTATCGTTATCATCATCATCGCCACTATCATCGTTATCGTCATCCCCATCGCTACTATCATCGTTATCGTCATCGTCATCATCGCTACTATTATCGTTGTCGTCATCTCCATCACTACTATCATCATTATCGTCATCATCATCTCCATCGCTACTATCATCATTATCGTCATCATCATCTCCATCGCTACTATCATAGTTATCGTTATCATCATCATCGCCACTATCATCGTTATCGTCATCTCCATCACTACTATCATCGTTATCGTCATCATCATCATCGCTACTATTATCGTTATCGTCATCTCCATCGCTACTATCATCCTTATCGTCATCATCATCGCTACTATCATCATCATCATCACCACTATCATCGTTATCGTCATCATCATCGCTATTATTATCGTTATCGTCATCTTCATCGCTACTATCATCATTATCGTCATCATCATCGCTACTATTATCGTTATCATCATCGTCGCTACTATCATCGTTATCGTCATCATCATCGCTACTATCATCGTTATCATCATCATCGCCACTATCATCGTTATCGTCATCGTCATCGCTACTATCATCGTTATCGTCATCACCATCGCTACTATCATCATCGCCATCATCTCTATCATCATCGTTATCGTCATCATTGTCACCATCTCTGGCTTCCATAGCTGCGTTTATTGCAGTGGCGATTTGATCCAGATCATCAGCGGCCGTGGCTGCAGCTTCATCGCCTGTGATCAGAGTGTCTGTATCAGTGGGCCCAGCTTTGTTCGCGTTGATTGTTTCGTGTCCTTTTAAATTAAGTATATCCGCAATATTTGTTGCGATATTTTCAACTTGATTACGCACACGTTGGACACCCCCATCTTCTTCATCATAATCATCGCCATTACCATCGTCGCCATTACCATCACCATCGTCATCATTTCTATCATCATCGCTATCATCGCTATCATCTTCATCACTACTATCATCATCGTCGCCGTCTCTACTATCGTTATCGTCATCATCGCTACTGTCATCGTTATCGCTATCATCGCTACTGTCATCGTTATCGTTATCATCACTACTGTCATCGTTATCGCCATCTCCACTATCGCTACCATCTGTATCATCATCGTTATCGCCATCATCGCTACTGTCATCGTTATCGCTATCATCGCTACTGTCATCGTTGTCTTCATCATCGCTACTGTCATCGTTATCGTCATCATCGCTACTGTCATCGTTATCGCCATCTCTACTATCGCTACCATCTCTATCATCATCGTTATCATCACCATCGCTACTGTCATCGTTATCGCCATCATCGCTACTGTCATCGTTGTCGTCACTATCGCTACTGTCATCGTTATCGTCATCATCGCTACTGTTATCGTTATCGTCATCATCGTCACCATCTCTATCATCATCGTTATCACCACCATCGCTACTATCATCATTATCGTCATCATCGTCACCATCTCTATCATCGTCGTTATCGCCACCATCACTACCATCATCGTTGTCGCCATCATTACTACCATCATCGTTGTCGTCATCATCACTACCATCATCATCGTCGTCGCCATCTCTACTATCGCTACCATGTCTATCACCATCGTTATCGCCATCATCGCCACTGTCATCGTTATCGCCATCATCGCTACTATCATCGTTATCGCCGTCATCGTCACCATCTCTACTATCGCTACCATCTCTATCATCATCGTTATCGCCATCATCGGTACTGTCGTAGTTATCTTCATCATCGTCACCATCTCTATCACCATCATTATCGGCATTGCTACCACTATCGTTACCGCCATCATCCCTACCATCATCGCTATCGTTATCATCACTACCATCATCGTCGCCATCTCTACCATCGTCGCCATCTCTACTATCGCTACCATCATCGTTATCGTCATCATCGCCACCATCGTCGTTACCATCGTCGTTACCATCGCTGTCGCCATCGTCACCATCATCTCCATCGTCAGAGTTATCGCCATCATCGCCACCATCTCTACCGTCATCGCTGTCGCCACCATCGCTATCACCGTCATCGTCCTCATCTTCACGATCATCATCGCCAGCATAAATGATTTCATTATCACCATCACTGTCGAAATCTCCATCCTCGTCAGAGTCATCGAAAAAATCAACGAAAATTTCATTAATATCATCTCCGTTCTTTCCGTCTACATCTACACCCAGTACTGAACTTTTTAAATGCAAGTCGTTCTCAGCATGGGCGGTGTCGTCACCAGCTCCTTTCTTATTCCCATCTAAACCCAGCACTGATCTCTCCGAATTCAACCGATTCGCAATACTTGAAGCAATATCTCTAATCTTTGATTTTCCCAGTTCACCTGTGCCAACAAATTCATTAATCCATTGATCAGTTTTACTTGTATCCTCTCCATCATCCAACGGTCTGGTTGCAACGAAAGCCAGAAGAGCACTGAACAGAATCAAACACACAAGCTTCATGTCAGCCATCTTTGTTGAATTCTGCGCGGGACTTCCCCAAATAAATTACTACAAATTCGAAAAACAGGGAACTTCTCCACACTTGAGCGAAAGCCGACAGTTACCGCTCGCTCCCGGGTTCACTAAATGTATTGCATAGCCCTCTCTTATTTATACAGAATTTTCGAAATATCTACAACGTCATCATATATACCCAAATATGGAAAGCTGCCCAAAAGGGCACGACAATACATCAAACAGTTGAAATAACAGCCAATTAAATCTCAGAATTTCATTTTTTATAGAACGTGAGATTTGCTCGTGACATGAGAAGTCCAATGTAATTGGTTTATTAAGTAAGACGCGCGTGTCTATAAAATGTAGGTATATTCCGGTTGTCACAGCCGTCATATCGTTTTACTTTTGGTGTTTATTTTAAGAACTGGAATACTGCATCACGTTGTGCTATATACGACTGACGAGAACAAATCATAAAAGCCCGAGGTTTGTTTTAATGACATCTCTCAAATATGCCTAGTCGGACATTTATATGGGGGTTTTGACCTCTGTGACTTTAACAAAAAAAGATGAAAATATAAAATTGATCAAATCTGATGTGTTGACGTCCGAAGATTAAAGGCTGATCAATATAAATCAATGGCCTATAGATCACCGTACTATTCTCTAAATAGTAGTTGATTTATTTTATTTACGTCCCATGTAAAATACTGATATCTGATAGGGCAAAATCTAAACGATTAAATTTCTGTTTCGATTTAATGTTCGGAATTTTATTGGTTTCAGAAGCCATTGAACTGCCCTGGGGATTATCCAACGTGGTTTCATTTGTCTTCGTTTTTACGTTGGCGTACGCCGTTGGAATTCGACGAAAAGCAATTGTCTGGACAAATTGTTCCTAATACCATACAGTATATAGCTTTTGCCCATTTTCATTGACCCGCTTGGTGCAGAAAAGAAGACTTTTTACCCCCCGTTTAAAGTCAACACTTATCTACCGCCTAGTTTTTATCTCATGACTAGCCGAACATGTGAAGAGCCCCGAGGAAGAACGATCTGAGTCACTTTTTCAATGAACCCCAGTTAATGGCGCCATCTGGTAGCAAATTGTATAAGCTTTCTGTGGAACAATCAATTTCGTGTAAAAACGATCGGAGTCGCATCGTACCAAGGCCCTTCTGAAATGGCCTCCCGCACAGATACGTTCATGGTACTTTTTATTTGACATTAATTTGGCGGAAAAGTGGAAGTCAGTTGTTGTACCGGTAATTATGGTTCGTGTTAAACATCATTTTGAAGCTGTAATTAAACCCACTTGTTGTTTTGTTTGCGTCAAACATTCTCGTCCAAAAGCCTGTTTTGCCTTTTATACGATAAGACAAAAATGTGACTTAGATCATTCTTCCCCTGGATTCTTCATGTAGATCTAAAATATTAAATGTGGATAACAAATCAAGGCTTGCTCATTTAAAAGGAGCATTAATGCTTCGATGGGTGTCAAACTTTAGTTTAGTTTTGGTGCAATTTCACTCCCGATTAGCGTTGCATGCTGAAGTTATAGCGTGCGCAATTCTAAAACACCAATTCATCACGTCATTGCCGTAATATACATGCACGTGTTTAAAATTCTAAATTACGGCTCGTTTAATTTAGACGTTTTCGACCCACTCTTATGCATTTTGAATATAATATGTTTCCGAATTTATATCTTTGCTAGTGTGTCGAGAAGAACTATTGGGATTTTGGAAACCCTGTTTCTATTTGTCAGGGAAAGGATTGCCCAATCTTTCAGACTCGGCTTAGTGGGGTCGACTGTTCGATGCCTGCATTGGCCGAGAAAGTTCATCCCGATATTCCGGCGTGGTTCCACCTGTCAGTAAATTCGGATGGGACGAAAAACCCGTGTACAAATTGACAGTTGGAATTCGATGTAAGAGTAGGCTGTAGTACCGCTGTCCGGGCAAACTTTCCCTCATAGCACACTGTATGGCGTATGCCCGTCTTCATTAGCCCAGTTCGGAGTAGAACAGTGTGACGTTAAACCCCATTTCATTCAATTTCATTTCATTTCAGACTCGGCTAAGGACTGTTCGAGGTCCACGCATGTGCAGATTGACTAGCACACAATAGAATACTGGACAATTGGAATTCGATGTAGATTGGAGAAACCTTCTGGATAACAAAGAAAGAGCGAAATGGGGTTTAACGTCCACCAAACACAAACAACACCATTTCATGTACTTGTATTGGTCAAATGAAGTCCATGCTTTATGTCCTAGAACCAAGTAGAACGGGTACTTCGTTTCCGCCCCCATGCCGTTCGCTATTATGATCTATGTTATGTTGGTATATCGTGTGATATTACATCTGCATTAACCTTGGGTTGTTGTTGGTATTTTGTGTCAGTTAGTTGTATTTTCCGTCCGCTTGCGCCGAGTTGATATCGCAGACAATGTTTGTATTTGTTGGATCGGTTCTTATACCTACTTGATATGTCCTTCGGGACTAACATATGGTTCAATTTTATTTCATTAATTTCATTAAGGAGTCTTTATTTAGCAGTGAGAGAAAACCGGATGACATGGAGAAAACCCACGAGGTTTAACAGGCGACCCTAATCCTTGTCACCTACAAGCGGGGAATCGAAACCAAGCCACTCGAATCAAAAACAGACGTTATGATTTGCCGCGCACTCCACAATATCATTGCATCCGTGACCCCGTCTTCATTAGCCCAGTAGGAGCAGAACAGTACGGCGTTAAACCCCATTTAATTTCACATCCATGACCAAAAGGAAAACGAAAGTTAGTCTCGTAATCAAGCCCCCCCCCTCCCCACATACCCCGGAAACACGAAAGTTAGTCTCAAAATGACCGAAAAAATGTTGTATTGACGAGAAGTTAAAACCAACTATTGTCCCTTTAAAGCGTTGGCTGTACTGTGACAAGTTTGTCGTGACTTTTATATAAAAATTATATATGACATGAATCCTGTCACCACTTATTTTTTTTTATAACAGTAGCAATTCTTGGCGCCTTACTTTCCATTTATATCAACAATCCGACATCAAAATAAGCGACATGCGTGTGAAAGGGTAGGCTTACACCATGCATGCATGATACTTTACTCAAGTGGTTGAATATTAGAAGACAATAACAAATACCAATAATAATGATAATGATAATAATAATAATAACAGAAATAATAATGATCATGATATTGATGATAATAATAATAATAATAATAATAATAACAATGAACATAATGATCATAATAATAATAATAATAATAACAGCAATAATAATAATAATAATGATAATAATAATAACAATAACAGCAATAATAATGATAATGATATTGATGATGATAATATTAATAAAAATTATAATCGGTTGTGATAATATTGATGTAAATTGCGGTAAAATAGGTACCCGATAGAAAGTAAATGTGAACTCCACCAATTGTTAGTGTCATCGGATGCTCTAGGACTAGCAAGCATAACCTGTCCCGTGTATAACACACGGCATCTTGAAAAAGTGGAACCATATGGGTATGAGTCCCATGCGTTGATCATTTTAGGGACTAACACATGGTTTTTAGCTGTGGGGGAAAGTGAAGAACCCAAAGAAAACCCGCGAGGTTGGGCAAGCGACCCTACAACTTGTCATGTACAGGATCGGTGTCGGATCGGTACAGCTTAACTCAATAACGGACATTATGAGTAATACTAATATTCTAACATTTAAAACAAAATCCGTCCGTTTACAATATATACAGTATTACATATTTTATATTACTTTATGTAGTCGATGTCACTATATTGCCAAATGTTTAGTGGAAATAAAATGAAATGAAATGGGGTTTAACGTCCTACTGTTCTGCTTCGACTGGGCTAATGAAGACGGGCATATGCCATACAGGGTGCTATGAGAGAAATTGTGCCCGGACAGCGGTACTATGGCCTACTCCTATATCGAATTCCAACTGCCAGGGGATCTTTTATATGCACTGGACCTGGGTTTGTCGTCCCACCCGAACGACTAGACAGCTGGTCTTGTCAGGCCCTCGCCCTGCAGCACTGACAAGCGGAACCCACGCCGAAATAGCCCGATGAACACGCGGCCTTCAAGCTAGCGAGCCAGCGTCTTACCCCACTTAGCTACCGTGGCTCCGAACGCTTGATGGACTTGTCCATTATAATGTACCGCTGAGGAAATACATGTAATCACATAATGAATGTAGACTGAACTACTGCATATCGAGGTCGACATGACCATATTTATTAGAGAGAGAGAGAGAGAGAGAGAGACACACACACACACACACACACACATATGGGGTTTAACGTCCAGTCGACAAAAACTAGGTCATTTCGGGACTAACATATGGTTTAATTTTATTTCAATAATTCGCTTGCACTGAGCGCCATGGAAAACGCATCACTTAGTTTATCGTATAACAAAATGATCCTGTAAACATATCTTATTTATTTTGCTTCTTATTGTGAACACTATTCAAATGAGAACACATCAATAACAACACATTTGTACACTTATGGATGTTTAATCTCTAATCAAGGGTACAAAGTCAGAGGGGTCAAAACCAAAAGTACGACACAGATGTCAGTAGCGCGTGTGTCCTCCACGGACTCTTACGCACGCTGTGCAGCGACGTCGCATGGAATTTACCAATGTTTGAAAGAAGGCCTGGGGCACATTGTTCCATTCTTGGACAAGAGCAGCTTCTAAAGCAGCAATGGTGTGTATCTGTGGTCTCCGATACAGACGGCGTCTAATCTCATCCCAGACATGTTCTATCGGTGCCATGTCCGGCGACAAGGCTGGCCAGTCCAAGACATTGATGTTGTTAGCAGCCAGGTAGTCCATACTAAAACGGGCGGTATGCGGACGTGCATTATCCTGTTGGAAGTGCTGAAGTTGTGGGTGCGCTCGAAACATCGGAACAACAATTGGTTGCAAGACATCATCACGGTAGGCTACAGCATTAACGCGAGCATTGCAACTGTGTAGGGTGGTCCGGTAATGAAATGTGAAGCCTCCCCCGACCATTACACTTCCCCCACCCCATCGATTCGTTTCGAAGACGC